ACCTCACCCGTAAAATAACAATTAATGTAGTATTGTAGTATAACAAAACTGATCATAGTGTAAGTTAGTAATGCCGAAGTGCAAGTAAGTTAACTTTAGGTCTAGAATGTAAGCTTAGCTGTAAGAAAAAGCCCCTCCTCCAGCTGCTTAAGCCGCAAGGCAGCAGTATAATGTACATAATTTAAAGAGCATAAATTCCCCTTCTCCACTGAGTTACTGTGGAGGGGACAAAAGAAGAAAAAAAATTACAAAATTGTTGTATGTCCTCCCCTCCTATTTTCTGATCTATACGGCAGTTCAGTTAAATTTATTTTCCTAGGGGTTGTTATTTATCCATTCTCATTTTCCCTTTTCATTTGAAAGAAACGTCTCCTGATGCCTGCTGCAAACTTCATTCATACGATTAACTACTTTTATAGATGTTTTCCTTTTAAGTTCTCGAATACTTTTAATTTTCTTCATCACTTTTACTTATTTCACACTTTTTCCTGCGATCCATTTCGATTTCTTAATATTAACATACTACACAATCGATTAAACTACATACCAACTTTTCTTTACCACTGCAAGCAACCTCACTCATATCCCCAACAAAAATCGACCAACAAGAATACCCAGCAAGATGAAATTCATGAAAGGGCTTCACGAGATCATTAGAGTATTGTTGGTAAGTCCTTTCCGCTGAGAATTTCATATAAACAAATAATCCCTTTCGACTGCACACACATCTCGGAACTGACTTTCCTTTTTGTCACGACAAACTGCAAATACACAGGAAGTAATGGATCTGAAGACCTACCTGTGATGTTGGAAAATAATTTCAACCATTTTCCTCAAAATTTTTAATTGGGTCTCAAGAACTAAAATATCCTAGCGACAATATATATTCAAATGCACAAATTAAAAATTCACAGATTTTCATTGACATTCCAATTTTCTAAAGGGACACATTTTGAGATATTGATAAAAGGAAAGGTTTTCTGCTAGCTGAAGTAACTGAAATATTGTATGAATTTTTTCTTGAATAATTCTACCAATGTTTAGATGTATTTTAACAGTTTGGACAAAAAGGAGTTTTAAAAGTCAGTTCCGCAGAAATCAAGAGTTTTTATTATTTTATTTACAAACTAACTGAATGATACATTTTGCATGATTACCACAGTATTCCTCGTGTTTTTTCTACAGGACTATATTTTTCTACTTACTTTTGCAACAAACGATTGGGCTACAGTTCACGAGATTCTTTCATGTGAATAACATTGTCCATAAGTGCCCATTGTACCTTTGCCTTCTCGACGTCAACATGAGTAGAGGATTTTGCAGTGCCAGAGATGGAAGCATTGTGAGTTAGAATGTCTGTTAGGACTGTTCATCACCGTCGGCACCAACAGGCCACCCACCTCGGATCCAAGATCCCAATACACTGATCTCAATGTTTTTGAGATATTTAAAACAATAGTTACAAGGAAAGAACTCATGGTGATATTTGGAGACTTAAAACTACCAACAATTAATTCGAATGAGAGTGACCCAATGCCTCAAACGGAGATTGAGCAGCAGGTTTTGAGAATGTACACCAATACCAACTTAGAAGATGGAAGAGCCAACAAGATACAGAGGACAACTACCCTGGATCTAGTAACGGTAAATGAAGATAACATTATCACACCACCAATCATAAGCCCTGTAATGTGATGTAGCGATCACGAATCGTTAGCTAGATCACTAGCGATCATAACTAGAACGCAGTTTCGAGTGAATTGTAGTTTCACAAATTAATCAGTTACATCAAGGCCAACTACTTCTAAGGCAATTATAAAATCATAAATCCTGAATAGGATTGCCGATAGACCGTATGAAAAAGCTGTAGAAAATAATGGAGATACTGATGACAGCTACAACGATCTCGCGGATAAGCTGACGGCAATTCTAAAAGCAATATCTCCGAAAATGAGAACGAAGATACAAATTGCCTGCCTTGGATAAACTATGAAGTTAAAATAATGGCGAAGAAAAAACTGTGTCTTTGTGTCAAAAACAAGAAATGACTATACGAATGGCATTCAAAAAGTTCCTGGAATGGGCTTGCCGTTGCCAAACTAGCAATAATGCACGGTTCATATTCTTGTGGTAGGCGACCGCCTGTTGGTACGCGGGCAAAATTGATTTGAATCAAATTGAAGATGTCTCAGAGCGCAGAGGTGCCACTACTCCGTGACACGTGGAGGTAAGCATTGGTCCGTCGGCGTAAAGTCGCAGTTCGAACAGCGCGCGAACCTCAAGTTCATGTGCAAACTGTGAAAATAGGCTTTATAGACACTATCGGCCCTGCTACACTGTGGCCTGGACAGTCAGTTACTGAAAATTTCTATGTGCAAGTTTTTCAGAGGTTTGGTGTTGCGGTTCGAAGGACGTATAGGGCCAAGAGGAGAATGGTGTCTGCATCACGATAACGCGCCATGCCACACAGCGCTTGTTGCGTAGAAATTCATTGCCGAGAACATGCTTATCTTTCCTATCTACCGTACATTCCGGATCTCGCTTCCCGATACTATTGAAATTCCTACTCTGGAAATGGGCTTTAAAGGGAGACGTTTTGCAGCCGAGAAGAACATGAAATCGAAAGCGTCGGCTCAACTCCGACAGACTCCAAAAGAAGCCTTCTATCGCTGATTCCAAGAATGGCAGGAACGATGGAGCTACTGTAAGGGTGCGCAAGGGTCTTACTTAGAAGGTGATTAGGTTACCATTGCCATAGGTTATACCATTAACAAGCTGAACCACCATTCCGGGAACTTTTTGAACGCCCCTCGTGTTATTTATAGGAGTCTCTAATGATTTGACTACACTCACAAAAATAACTTTTGATGAGATGTAATTCTACTCACACATCCAACAAGAAGCTCACTTCAAAAGTTGATCTACGAGCATTACCGTATATTCTAAAGTAACAAAATGGCGGAATGGTCGATGATCCTGTTGGAACTGCGGTCTGGAATTGCCTAATTGAAGAGGTCCATACAGTTGAACCTGCATTAAGCATCAATGAAACATCGGAAACAAGTCCAATTTTAACCAACTATGAATTTAATGAAATTGAAATTAGACAAATCCTAATCAATTTGGAAGTATATTCAGCGGCCGGCCAAGATGCAATCCCAAACATCCTACTGAGGATGCTACTATGCTACGCATATGGCCTCAAATTTTGAAAATGATTTTCAAGCAGTATTTGCGTACGTTCAGGATACCAACTTCTTGGAAACGTGCCACTGTAATCCCAATTTTTAAGAAGGGATATAAAACAAATCCAAAATATTACCGGTTGATCAGCCTTACAAATGTAGTAAGAAAGATCATGGAAAGAGTTTTAGTTCGGTGAACACAGGAATATACAAAAAGAAATAATCTCATCCCTAAGCAAGTGTGATAAGCCAGGAACCCCTGGTTTAATTTGAATGGGAACGGCATCAAATGGGATACGATTGTATGCAGGCCTGGGAATCAAAGAATGCACGTTGTTAGGGCAACAAACAGAGTATAGTATTCCGTGTTTTGGGTGTCACAGCGCTCTACACAGCCTCGAATACGTGAGATGCGATAAATGGGAAGTAGGCTTTGAAAGCCTTTATTCTGTGGGAAGGTTAAAATATTCTCTCTCTTAATATCTGCCGAACTAGACACGAAAACAATTGATACGATGTGAATGTTTAGTTTTCAGTATAGTCTGGGGTTATTTGTAAATAGTATTGAAGCGGGTAAATGATGATTGGTGTTGAAAGATTAGCATTGCAACAATAGTTCGAAGGTTTAAAAAAAATATTTTACAATTGTGATTTTCGTTAATGTAATTTGAGACGTGTCATATAGACTATGCATTTCCGAAGAGATTTATGTCAGGATAGCTCGATCGACGGGGAAGATTTTTTATATAAGTCGGCTTAAGATAGATAATAGCGAATATGGGTTTCACCCGAAGTCCAGCGAGAAGTAATTTTGATAGAAATCATTGAATTATATAAAGTATAAAATATTCGAGGACATTCTGGGAATATGTAATAATTTATTCGGATGATAGGCAAAAACACTATAATAGGAGCAACATCCCTTGGACAACGACTACAGCCGAGAAGTAAAGCCGTGAAATCAACAGGAAGCTTAGGAACTTTATTTAGAAACCGCACGGTACTTTTATGTTGCAAATATGAAGGAAGTTATCCAGTTAATTTATGAGCTCTAAACATTATATAAAATCGTTATAATACATGTTAAATTTTATTTTTGAAAATTCCCCATAACGACTAATTTTATTAATATAGTGATAAGCAAAATACATTAACAACACGAACTGAAAAATTCAATATCTTTATTACCCTTTAAAATATTTATTTTCTATTGTTTACTTGTACTTTTTTGTTAGTAATTTTTCTAAATCTTTCTGCAGAGTTCGTGCTCTCTCCATACTTGAGTCTGCACTGTCCTCTGAATCTAAGTATCGTAATGCAGTCTCGACACCCTTCAATGCCTAAAAGTTGTACTGTTGGTACACCGTCCCATTTTCCGAAGACACCCTTTTACTCGCCAAATAACATACGAGAGATGCTTTTGGCAGCGCTAATGCAACTGATCGCTTTTCCGCGTGACACGGCGGATATCGTCTGGTTGTGTCTGTTGCGTGCATCAAGTCGCTTGCGCAAGTACAATAATTGCGCGTCTCCGCCGCCATTTGTAGCCCACGCAGGACACTACCTTTACTTCTGTAGTGATACTGAGTGGCATAAGGTCATCAGTAAGGTACCCATAGCGTTTTTGAATGAGTTTCGATCCATACTTTTGCAGGAACTGTTCTCTGTGCTGTTTTATTTATATAATTAATTTTACATTATTTACTGAATTATAATGATACAAATTGCGTGGTAAGACGGATTGCGGGCCTGATGGCCCAAGTCTCGCCACGTAAAATAAGGCAAATTCAATTCAATTCAATTAGTAAATATTTTTCAGTAATTCTCGAATGCACTCCTGACTCCTGAGTTTCCCGGAACTTATCTGGAATCCGCAATGACAAAATTATGGTGTATCAATTATATATGAATTTGAATGATTGTTGGAAAAGTTATAACATTTTCAATTTATTTGTTCCCTTGATATTTGGCATGAAATCTTACCGTTAGTGAACATAGTCTTGAAAATGATACAAACTCCTAATTCATGTAACTCATAATATATCGAAAATTTAGATCGTCTTAAAACCAACATTCAGTCATATTACAATAATTATGACGAAATGCTAAACATCGCAACTGAGCATACTAATTCGTGAGATTTAGATGCAGATTTCCTTCATCTACATGTAGGCGAAAAAAGAAGACTATGTTGTTTTAGAAACATGAACGTTGAGAGTACAAATGATCTAAAGACTAATTTTCACATACATTTTTTAATACTACTATTGATCCTACAGTTTCATCTATGGTGGAAAGGTTTTAATTGCTTAAAGAAAAGAATGATGCATTTAATTTTTTATACTCGCACGACTTAAATAACTAGCAGAAATGAGAGATATTATAACATTGTTTGGATATAGAATTTAGTGTTTTTGCATTATATTAGAAAAAAATTAAGTGTTTCTATAATCAATGCGATCTTCTATACTGCTCAGGCCGTTGTTCATATTTGGTTATTGACCCCTTCAAACTTTTATCAACCCCAAGGGGGACTACACTGATCCCGTTGGGAACCCTTGATTTAGAGAGTATCATACAAAAATTTCAGAGTTTTAAAGTTTGAAAATTGCCTTTGTAAAATTTTATTCTATTGTATTCCATACTTCTGCTAATTATATATTATGGTACATTTTTTATTGTACATAGATATTACTTAATAAATATATCTATAATAACACTTCAATAAATACTATTTACATTATAAACAATTAAACTTTTCTTATTAAATTTACATAATTATAGCATTCTTTTTAAATGCAGCAAAATATACTTGCACCATGACAGCAACCCAGTGCACGATGGCCCAGAAGGTACCCAACCTTCACCTAAGGGGAGACTTATCTTCCTCTACCTTCATCTTAGGGGAGACTTCTTTGGCTATGAACTTTGGCTGACAATATTTTTTTCAAGCTGATTTGTGTTGGAATTTGTGGCAGTCAGGCGATATACTGTATTCTTTTCCAGGACATTGCATTTCCTACGTTCACTGCAGCCAAGGTTCAGGTTCACTAACTTTCTTATGCTTATTTATAATACAAATGAAACGACCACTGATTTAAGTTTACTATAATTGGAGCCGACTGTACCTTTATTTCACAAAAGCTTTTGGTACGGTTCTATATCAGAGACTGCTATGGAAACTGGAGCTTAGAGGTATGAGTGGACACCTTTTGCTTGGATTAGGAAATACTTTAAAAATATAACTTTACAGGTACGAGTGAGATACATTTTATCTTCACCAAGATTAGTCATCAGTGGCGTGCCACAGGGTCAGTTATAGGTCCCCTATTATTTATTTTGTACACTACTGATTTTGGAGAGCAGCTGAGATCAGAGTGCACTGCAACGTATATGATACAAAATTATTTGTAAACCCCTCGATATTACACAACCAACTTCAAGAGGATCTGCAACAAGTAAAAAATGGTCTACACTAGGCTTTTACCACTATTTGGTTTCAAGTGTATAATCCTACATTTAGGAAAGATCAACCCCGTTCTACCTTAAACCATTGGAAATAATTAAATTGTATCAACAGAATTGCAAATGGATTTTGGAGTGTTATCTCTGGGGATCTGAAGTGGGAAATCCAAACCCGAGCTGTGTCAAAAAAGCTAACAAGTCAATTTATCTGATATGGAGGGCACTTGCTGACAGGACATAGAGGTTGCTTGAAAAGACTATGTACATGAGACCAATGCTGGAATACGGCAATCTAATTTGGTCCCCTTCTTACAAAAAAAGATTTCAAACATCTTAAAATAACACAGAGGGTGTTGTTCAAAATTCTGAGAGGGCTACGGCAATGTGAATATTAGAATGCACACACTTGAAGCTTCTCAACCTGGATGAGAGGAAAGAACGAGGTGAACTGATCACAACATACAAGATACTTTGCGGAAAATACAATGTCAACATTTTTCATTATCTCTTCATCAGGTCGTCCAATAACAGGCTGAGAGTTTATTCAAAGAAGTAGCAGAAGGAGAGGGTTCAACCATCGATCACCACTCTATTTGTGATGACGTGGGAACACGTGGCATGAACTACCAGGGTTCTATGGGGAAACAAGAAGTGCTGCATCCTTCAAAGCTCAGCTGGACAAGACCAACAGCAATCAATATTACAAGCCAAAAACAAACTGTGATACCTGATATGCAAATATAAACATATTTTATGATAGTTTTATTGTAACGTAGTACTGAAAGATGTATTAATTATTATATTTAAGAAACAGTTATATATTTTATCAGTTATGTTGTTATCATATGAGAAATATATTATTAAGAGTGACTTAGTTTGCAATGACAAATAGTTTACCCAAGAACAATTAATAGAAATGCAACAAATACCTTGGTATCCAACAAATTATGATTACCCGGTGGAATATTAGGTGCCATTGTTGCAAGATGGAGCTCTAATTCTTGCAATTCTGCTTCCTGTGGCCGCTCCCAGTCTCGATAATAACCATTACCATTGACATGCTGCACACCACTCTCAGCTTGTGTTGGAGGCATTCTTTGAACACACAGACGTCTCCAAATCACAGCAGCCATACAAACCACAATAAATCCAACAGCAATTGTTAAACCAACTACAAAACCTGCAAAATAACACAAGCTTATTTCAGAATTATTTATATAATTTTTAGAAAATATATTGCAAATAAAGAAATAATATTTATCAGAGATTATAAATAAGATTTTTGTGTGTAAGTGTGACACTCAGTGTTTCACTCTCTCCTTCCTTCCCAGTCTCCCTCTCTCTCTTTCGCTGCCGCTTTATTTACTTTCTCACAAACCGCTCTAATTTTTTCATTACATTTTCTACTCATATGTAATAACGGACAGAAAAATATGGTGTTAGACCAATTCTCGGCGAATTCTCAGTTTTCGAAAATACATTTCAAAACCACAAAATCGAAAATTTCGTAGTTTTGCGAAGTTTGCCTCTAAATCCATAGTAAGAATCAGCTCTTTAGTAAAGGTCATGCACTTTTTTTTTTAAGAAGTTAATTTTGCCGAATTTGTGACTGAAGTTTTTGCAATTTCTAAAAAAAGTGTTTCAAAAACCTCAAAGGAAACAACATATGGTACAAATCTAAAACAGCACATAATTACTCACATTATTTTTAACTATTCCGTTATATTATATTCCTACATGAACATGCAAAAGAGTATTTAACCAGCAAAAATTATTTTCCAGGCCCAGATTCCAACTCTGGTCCTTTAAATTAACACGCACTACGCTACAGAAGATGCGCTAAGTATCAACTTGGGCTGACGCTTAAAAAAGTAATTGTGACAAAACAACATTTTTCCAACACACCACTTTTGCAATCTTCACAAATACAGAGAGTTTGTCAAAAATGAAAGTAGCACATTTTTACTTCTTCATCCTTACGAAGGCACTTAAGTAAAACTATGTAATTGTGCACTGGAAAATGTCAAATTTTCAGCAGAAAAACACTTATTGCCGAGCCCTGCTAAGAAAAAAGTTGATAAATATGATTGCTAAATTTAGAAAAAAACTACTGGTGCAAGAGGATGGCACAGACTTTCTTGCATTACTTAGTTTTCTAATCTCTCGAGTCTCGACTAGCTTTTTGGCTATGGCCTTTTCTCTTCCCAGCTGCCTTCTTTTGCAGCTTGAAGGTCATTTTTCATATTTTCTTAATTTTTCTGCTCTCTTATTGTAGAAACTAGCTTTAAGAATATTATAGATTAAAGAGTAAGACACCTGTCATACCCTGAGGGCCAAAGTGGTTACTGAGCGCTTTCGAGCAAGTGGTTGCTGGTTCGAGTCTCACTCAGGGCTTATTAGTCACATGTCACTTATCTCTCATGAATTTGTTGTCGCAGTAAACTATTGAGAATTTGAGATTTTATTGAAAATCATTTGAAGAACTTCTACAGATGAGTTCAAATTATTAGACTAAAGCATATCTTTCCTAAGTTTCATTATATAATTGGAGAGAAACGCTGTTAAGGGTGATGTCCATGAAAGGTCCTGGCAGATTGCACATTGTTGAATACCAATAAAAAAAAAATTTTGAAAAGGAACTTTTCCTCAAATTGGAATGGTTCCCTAATGAAGATGGAATTTATATGCATTATGAAGCAGTGCCACAAAGACCAAAGTGTCTTCAAGAATTTGGAAGAAAAGCAATTTAAAGCATTAGCGTGGCCACAGAATAGCTCTGACTTAAACCCCATAAAAATTTTATGGGGTATTACGAAGACAAGAATAAGGAAATATATAAAAAGTTGTGGACAAACTTGAGATTTAGTATAGCACCATGAGATTAAAAACGCAGGTTTGTATGTTGGTAAACAGTATGCCAAACAAAATAATGTTTTTGATTAAGAACAAAGGCATATGCAGCAACAGTAAGTATTAAATGTATGACTGTATCATGTTCACGAATGTATACGTGTAATAAATGCAAATCTTTTATGAAAAATGTTTTTAATCTAATAATTTAAACACGCCTGTACTCACAAATACAATCAAAACAGATAAATAAAGTGGATGTGTCTGTATGTGATTTTATCTTTTGAACCTTTTTTCAACTCTTACTCAATTTGTAAAATGTATGTCACGTCAAATCAATTGCTGTCTTTCTGTGCACCTGTACTAACCGATTTAAGTAAACTAATCAATCTATCGACATGAAATTAAAATTCATTGTAAACACTATCCATGGGCCCGACTTAGATTTCCCTAATACCTGACCGGGAGAAGAGGCTCAGGGCAAGAACCGTCACTGTAGTGCCTCTGTCCGGGAGGTCCTGGATTTGAATCCCAACAATGGCAGGATTTTTGACAGTAGCCAGGTAGCTAGATTGAGTTCTGTCGACGTCTGAAGGAGAATTCTAGCGGCCGGCTGCTCTGATCAGTAGATTTCTCCTATCAACCCCAGGGGAATGCCGGAGCAGTGTTTTACTAAATGGACCACGAACCACGTGCCATCTTTCCTGCCCATTTTCTGTTTTATCCTATCTCTTTCTTACACCCATGCACTACACTACCACGCACACCAGGAGACCGGTCAGGAGTTTAGAACTTGTCCCGGCTGGGGCGGTGATTTGCTGATGGGAGATATCAAGTTGGAGAAAATCCCTCTAGCTGAAGATAGGTAGGCGCCGGATCTCACCCTCTAGGGAGGGAGATCACTGTCACATCCAAGCAAAAATATGCTTTATGCTTACGAGACTAATGACCTTAGCAGTTGACACGCCCGGAACCACTACAAATCTTAACAGCTATCTGTCAGTCTGAGGTCAACTCTAGCATCTAAACCGTTCAGCCGATTTTCTCCAATATTTTGATTGTTGAGGGCTTTTTAGATGAATGGGGCATTTCTATAACTTGATATAGTTATTAAATTATGAGGAATGATATTTAATTATAAGACATTGTGTTTAACTCAACACACAATGTGTTCTCTATTTTATGTTCAAAACACTTTGCTTAACTGAAACTAACCATGTGTATAAATAATGAACAACATCGGTTGTCGATAAGGTTGCGTGATCAAGATGGCGCTGCCTATAATGGCAGTATATATTTATAACAGGCCTTTACCCTTTTATGCCTCTGCTCGGGATCAATCCATATCCGATATGGCGCTTTGTGACGTAATGGTATGAGTGCCAGCAAGTTAAATCTGGGGATCTGAATTCGGGTCTCGAAGCAGAAAAAATAATTTACTGGTTGAAAACACGATTGTAGGTTTATGTAGTAGTATAATATTGCTGAGAATTTAGAAATAATGCAAAGAAACATGTGCGTAGGCAGCACCGTTTATTGTTGCTTGAATGCAACAAATATACAATGGAGCATGTTCCATTATCAGGCATACCTTCCCAGTCACCAGGAGTTGAAGGGATGTACCCAATCAACAGAATTCTAAGGATCAAGTTTGTTCCCACAGTTCTAACATCATGGCAATAAACTTTTCAAGTCCCAGGTCAATCATCCCTCCTAAACAGGACACCATGCAAGGCAAACACATTCGTGCATGTTTAGTACTCAGGAATGGCCAGGTATGAATAGGGTGAAGGTGACAGGTGATAAATGAAATGGTGAGCCAGAGAATGGACAATGGAGAAAGGAACACATATGATCATCCCAGTGTACCTATTCACTTCACACAGGAAAGGTGTTTCAATTAAATTAAAACATACCTAAATGCTGTGTGGTCTGTAAGGTATTACCAGCAAGTTCCTCGGTGGGTTCATCTGGCATGCCAGGTGTATTACAAATGCCTGATGGCGGCAAACCTGATGGAGGACCCCAACCAGCTTGTGTTGCAGCACGCAATGAAAGAAAGTATCGAGTCTTTGGCTCCAGTTCAATTACCTGAAAAGAAGTACACTGTTAGCATATACATTTCAAAATTTTAAACTGGTTATTATAAATATTGCAGTAAATTCTTTCTTTTACAGATTGTTTTGGACAAGAAATATTGATCAACAAGGGAGATTCATTAATATTATAAAAGACAAATATAGAATATAGAGTGAACAATATACATTAGTGCATATTGTTCATTCTGCAGAAGGCACACTACTATTATCGCCATCTGTTATCCATGTGGCGTTACAAAAATGTGTAACAATAACAAACAATGCCTGCTCACCTATTAGTTTTCACATTTAACACAATTAAAGGAAGAAATTTTAAAAAAATAACAAATATAATAAATAATTATAAAATGAAAAGTGAATAATATACAAACTCTAACTTAGGTAGCATCCAACTCTGTAATTGGGAGTGGTTGACTGAAAGCTAGCAATTTTTATTTCATAGTATTTATTTCAATAGGTTTTAAATAGTTACTAAAAGATAATTTGTAAACATATAACAGAAAACTCCACAGAAAGAAATGAATAAAGAAATATGAAATAATGTACACATTCTTACTTAGATAGCATCCAACTGCCACAAAACACTCTAAAATTATGGTCAAGAGTAGGATTTTCTGAGCGGGTAACTAACTTTGACACCCAATTACTTCAAAGATACTAATATTTTCAAAAAAATTCAACATGACCTTATTTAATATATATATATATATATATATATATATATGGTTATGTTTCCATTTGAGTAATTTAAGTATTTTATCAAATCAATTCAGCACGAAGAAACGTGATTGTAAACTAATATTACTACAGTAATTGATAAATTAGCAAATCTGAAGAAAAGATAAAAAAATAATTATTTTAAATTATATCATGAAATTGCAAAAATCATAATTTATTTTATGTAATAATTTATTGTAATAAACGTCTTTACTCCTAAAATTTAGTTTATAATCACAAAATTAAATTAACACAATGTCTTTAACTAGGGGGTCCAAATATTGTGTCACTCCAACGGTCTCCTCTGTTTAACTTACACCACTGGAGGCAGAGCAACCTTGTTCTACTGCCACTGAATTGTGCCAGCAATGTAAGCGTGCCGAATCCGGAATTTTCGAGAGTATGGCAAACAATGATTAGATACAATGTACGTTTTGGGAGTCACGCATTTTGAATTCACCTCCTCCAGGTTTCTTGAACAAATTACAGCAAGAAAGTTCCAACACCCATGACACAAGGCAAACTAGTGGTGAAACAGAATGGCACAGACTTTCTCTTACTAGTTAGTTTCCTTTAGTTTGGCCTAGCTTTACGGTTATGCCCCATCTTCTTACCAGCTGCAATTGCGGTTTTTCTCCTTCTGTTTTTGAGCCCCCTCATATTTATCAAACCGTAGACAAATAGTTGCCCTCCAACACACTAAAGAAATTAAAATCTCCTCATACTACTCCTGTCTTCAAATAATAAATTGTGGAGTCCCGCAAGGATCCATCCTTGGGCCAATACTATTCCTTATATACATA